GCACGTCAGCTAGGCCTTGACGCCCCAGCCGCCGGTGCGGGCGCCACCGCCAGCCTCAGCGCCACACAGTCACAGGAAGCAGACTTACCAGGAGCGAGGCATCCCCGACCGGCGGGCCGCCACCCATCGCAAGGTCTTGGAACCACTACACTACAACACTACGATGGCGCTACTAGCATTGCACACCGCTGCGCGCGCCGACAGCTGGCAGCTGACACCGTGGAAAGCACAGGTCCTCCATTTTCGGGGGTCACGGTGTGACAGTGGAACACTGGGTAGGTCTTGACAGGGCGTGCCGTGCCATCTCGTGTCGTGCCGTCTCGTGTCGTGCCGTCTCGTGCCGCCTCGTGTCGTACCGTCTCGTGTCGTGCCGTCTGGTGCCGTGCCGGCTCGTGTCGTGTCGTGTCGTCTCGTGTCATGCCGTCTCGTGTCGTGCCCTCTCATGTCGTGCCGCGCCGTCTCGTGTGCCGTGCCATGTCATCTCGTGTAGGGCTGTGCTGCTGTGCTGTGTCGCGCCGCAGCCTCACCAGAGCGCCACGAACTCCTCGAAGTGTCGCGAGAAGCCCTGTCTGGGCAGGCGCGGCGCCGGATCGGTCACCACCTGCTTCAGCTGTTCGAACGGCGTGCCCCAGATCCGGTACGGGAACTGACCTGCGGGGGAGGGGGGAGGGGGAGGGGTCCGTCAGCAGACCGAAGCCGGCCGCGCAGCCAGTGGCCAGTGGCCAGCAGCCGCGGCTCAGTGAGGGGGGAATCTCCCAGTGTCAGGTGCCGCAGTCGTGTCTGCAGTCGTCGCTAAGGCAAGGACGATGATCTCGGACCATCAACGCTATTGGCTTCAACAGCAGTGGGACCAAGGGCCCCACCTGCACCCACATTGTAATGGTATGATACGGAAACCGTGAGTTATTCACAGCGGGGGGGGGGGGGGGGAGCGGCGAGAGACGGCGGGAGCGTGCCTCGCGGCAGGACCAGGGAGCACATAAAAGCCGGCGGCTTGACTGGTCGCGGTTATCTCATTGGCACCAAACGCCGGCGTGACCCACTCGACCTTGCGGCACGCGGGAGGGGGGGGGGGAGCTACACGAGCCCAGCGTCCTGCTCTTCACACCGCGCGCAGGGCACACGGCACAGCCAATGGGGGCATAGTAGAGTAATGGCCCAAGTGCCAAATGACAGCGGCTGAAGCTATTTTCTGCCATTGCTGAAGTCAGACACCTTAGCCCGAACATACTTGCGAATACCCACCACTTAGTCAGCTTGTATACCTAGCATCAGCAGACAGACCAAACACCACCCGTGCTGAGCCATTTCAGACATTCACCGCAAGTGCCAGTCACCAAACTACCCCACACCACACGCATCGTGTCGCGCGGCGCTGTGTCGTGCGACGCCGGCCGTGTCGTACGCCATCGCCGGCGCCCCACCGCGCTGCGCCATGGCATATGCGTCGTCGCGCAGCACACGTCACGCCGCTGCGGCCCGCCGGCGCGGCCTGAGCGGGCGGCGGCGGCCCACCCACCGGTGCCGATCTCGATCATGGAGATGCCCAGGCTCCAGACGTCCGAGCGGATGTCGTAGCTCTTGTCGCCCGTCGGGTTTATTCGCTCCGGCGCCATGTACGGCTTGCACCTGTGGCCGGCGGAGGGGCGCCGTTAGAGCGGGCACGGTCGGACATCTGACTACTGACGAACGGGACGGAGGGGTGCTGTTAGAGCGGGCACAGTCGGACACCTGAATACCGACGAACGGGATGGACATGATCACTAGCGTCACTCTTTAACACCACGATCTCGGTGGGGAAACCGTAACAGCTAATTATGGACCTGGAACCCGCAGCGTCCGTGCACTACGTGCAGCAGTGGGCCCCTCCAGCATACGGAATCCGACTCCACCGCAGTAGCAACAGAGCCCGCTCGACCAGGTCGACGGACCAACAAAAATCGTGACTCCACGTGTTATCCCGCCCGGCAGCAGCACCCACCCGGCATCGATCGTCTTGGCCACCGAGTCGACCAAGTAGCCGGAGATTCCGAAGTCGCAGAGCTTGACGCGACCGTGCCGGTCGCAAAGCGTGTTGGACGGCTTTACGTCTCGGTGAATGACCTTCAGCTTGGTGTGAAGGTAGTGCAGCGCTGACACCACCTGGCGACCGAGACGGCGAATAGCGGTGTCAGCGCACACCGTCAGATGGTGTGCCCATCCACAGAGCGTGTGCGGGCGAGACAGTGTGGCAAAGCGCAGCCGTTGGGCTGCCAAGGAGACCGATGCTGCTTCATGCTATTGCCTTGGTGTCTGCTAGCTGTAGTTCCTCCCCTTTCCAGGATCGACCGATGAACATTGAGACAAATGGCAATATACCCAGCAGCTATGCTACTCGGGCGAGACAATGCGGGCTCGCAGGTCAGGATGTGAGGGCCCGGGGTCAAAGCATAGCGCATTAACAGCGAAGCAGGCATGGTGGAGGCGCAGACGGCGAAGCAGACAGAGGTCTGACATCATGAAATAATACTTGCCTCCCTGGCACTCCAATGGACGAATGAGGCCACGCGCGGCCGAAAGCATACGAGCACTAAACGTCGAAGCTGAGAGGTAAGGTATGCCACATAGTCTGTACGAAGCCCGCCTCCACTCCGGCTAGCAGTCTCATCGAGCAGGGACATGTCGAACGGAGTCCGACTCCTCCCCGATTGACAGCCTCACCGAGAAAGACACACCGTACGGAGCCCGGCTGACAGTCTCACCAAGCAGGGACACACCATGCGAAGCCCGGCTCCTCTCCGGCTGGCAGTCTCACCGAGCAGGGACACGCTGTACTCACCGAGTAGGCGATCCGAGCCAGGATCGGCTCCGGGATGGTCTCGCCGCGGCCGAACACCTTCTGGTAGAACTTGTCCAGGCTCTGGTCCATCACCTCCATGCAGATCCAGACGTCGCCCTCCTGGAAGCCAGCGGAACGTAGCGGGCTAGTGACACCCACGGACGGCCGAGACGCGGCAACGCCGGACACCGGCCAACGTACCGCTACGGGCGGTGAGGCCACCACAACAGCAAGGTCGGCCACCAACCCTGTCACAGACACGGGGCTCGTTTGTACCGGATGCACTGGTCGGTAAGCTGATGACCGACGTCCGTCCATCGCTTCAAATAAAACGCTCGCCTAGCCGCACCTCAAACGTATCCCAAACAAGAGACGAACACCACGTGTCCGGAAATCGCGTACGTTTTTGACGACCACGCCAGCCCGTCTGCGGGACCGATCCTGCAACACAATCCACGACAGCGCGTAGCGGATCTGGCAGCACCGCGCTGTCTTCCACGCCAGATGATCTCGTTTCTAGCCAATCACGGCACGTAGCGGATTGGCAGCACCGCACTGTCTTTCGCGCCAGATGATCTCGTTTCTAGCCAATCACGGCGCGTAGCGGATTGGCAGCACCGCACTGCCTTTCGCGCCAGATGATCTCGTTTTTGGCAAATCTCCCAGCCGGGAGAGGCGTAGCCAGCCCTGAACTTTCCCTAGCCTGGACCCCCGTGCGCACGGCGGCCCGAATCTGCACAGCTTCTTTTTTTCCCCCCTTCCAAACTCTCATCCGAGGTGGCCGACACGGGAGGAGAATGTCTTCATACCATCCCGCGCCAAGACTGTTCGATTCCGCGCCTTTCAGCCCTCCGGATGGGCTCGCCCTCGTCAAAATCTACGTTGTAATTACAGCCGCCGCGAGTTTTGACCGCCCTCTCTCGCCGTCGGACGCGTCCAGCCGGGCCTGGGGTTCAAGGGCCTGGCCAGAGCCGGCAGGTGCAGCCGAGCGAGCCAGCAGCGGTCCCAGCATCAGACGTCTGCAGACCGGCCCCATCGGCCGGCGGCGAGCACGACTGTTCACTCTTCTTTTAAATAGTAACTCCCCTTGCTTCGCAGATTTTTGATAACACATGTTGTGAAAACAGGGCTAACCTAGTGTGTTTATCGAAGTTTAAGCCCAATCAAGCGACAGCTCTACAATAACAGCCTTACATTCTTAAACTGTCACATAACGAGGGCCCCTTGGAAGGTGCGGATTCGTGCAGACACGTCAACTTCAACAAAAGCTTGCACCATAAGCTTCCAAAAAGCTCAGATATTTTGTTCAGGACATTCTACACGTCGCATTGTCTTCGACCGGTAATGTCCAAGATCGCATGGCCAGTGAACACAGGCCATTGACAGCCTGAAGGCGTTGGAAGGCAGCCAATCACACTGCGGTTTAAATGGTGACGTTCATCTCATTCAATCGGAAACAAAACGTTTACGACTTTCCCATCCCAAATAAATGCAGCCTTTGGCACTTCATAACGTGTTCTGCTGCAATGCTGAGCGTTCAAACTTGTACACGGTCAGAAAACTCAGCTCTCATCTGTGCAGCGTTCCGTGTGGTGAATATCAGCAACAGCATGGCTGTATCGAAATTAAATCTCGTTCACACCATGCAGGCTGGCTGCAGAATCCTCTGCAGATTCTGCGGCCAGCTGGCTGCCGCGGACTGGAGGTGCCGCATTTAGAAGTGCTGGCCCGCAAAGCGCGGGCAAAGAACCCAAATGTGGTGCCTCTAGTTCGCCACGGCTGAAGCCCGCAGCAGCCACAGCAGATTGTGCGGTCGCCAAGTGTTGCAGACTAAACAGGCACTGCATTCGAGCTCTTTTTATCCGCACTTTGCGGGCCCTACCATGTTGACGATACCCTGGTGGGGTTGGCATTTCGTCCACATGACATTCAAAGTCAAAGCAGTATAACGGTATTTTTATAACGGCAGCAAAACAGCGACGCACCATTCCGATTTCCTCCAATAATCGGTAACCTAAGATGCGACGAAGGACACCTAACTGCTCGAGTGTCGTCCCATCCCACTCAAATCTCCACAAATGTATACGCAGCGCCAGCGCCGATCGTCAACACCTGCGGCGTGGCGACGCGCCGCACAGGGCGCTCTCCACCAGCCGCCGTCAGCGCCGGCGCGGCGGCGACTGGCAGACCGCCGCCGGCCGGACCGCCGGCGAGCCTGACCCGCCCGTCCACTGACCTGGAACAGCGCGCCGTAGAACTGCACCGTGTAGTCGCAGTCGAGTGTGCGCATCGAGATGTCCAGGTCCATTAGCGTGCGCTTCGTCTCGTCCGAGTTGAGCGTCGCCGGGATCCGCTGCCGAGGGGGGAGGGGGTGTGACGTCGCGCAGTGGGCTGAGGGAGGGCACACTGGGACAGGCGGGGACGAGACCCGGAGCTGCTCAGCCATCAGCTCGCCGTGCTTCACGGCGATCGCAGTTGGAAGTCGAAAAACGGCGGATAGCGAGTCTCTAACATATGAACTCGCGACCACAGCGCTCGCGACAACTCACGCACGGTAACTCGCGACCACAGTGTTCGTGACAACTCACGCAGGGCAACTCGCGACCACAGTGCTCGTGACAACTCACGCAGGGTTACTCACAACCACAGCACTAACTCATGCACGGTAATGAGCTCGGGCGGCCAAAAAGAAGGCGTAATAATTAAACCGTCGGGGCTGCCAATGACCTACACCCGATGGCATGCGTCATTTAAACCACAGGCAGCCCAAGATGGGGTACCAAGCCGTCTGCTTAGCACCTGCATTGCGTGACGCTGCCATGGTCTTACGTCAATTTACTTACTCTTAATCTCTTCTCGGTCCACAAGTGTAGACGGAGACTACAGAGCCACCTCTAACGTCTATTTAAGTTAAAGCTCATCGGATGGGTAATATCCGCACCTTCGGCGCACGCGAGGTCGCCCAACATCTCCGACAAAAACAACATACGGATTTAGTCGGAGCTTGGCATCGAATGTCTCGCATAAAACTGCAATCGGATGATTGCCAGCAACGGGCGATGAGCATCCGGATAAGACATCTTATGACCTCACATATCGTCACGGTGACCGGCTTATGGACAGCTAATGACCTTGACGGTCACGACGCTGACATGGTTATGGACGGCTACTGACCTTGACGGCCATGACGGTGCTGGTGGGCCGGTGCCGCATGCGGTCGACGGTGCCGTATGCGCCGCGGCCCAGGTTCTCCAGCAGGTCGAGGTCGGCCGCCTGCACCTCCAGCGTGTCGGTGCCGATGCGCAGCGTGGTGCGCACGTCCAGGTTGCGCGGCGGTGCCCTGCGGTCACGCGAAGACGGCGCTGACCGACGGCGGCGGCGGTACGATCCGGCGGCGCTCATCCCCGCTCGGCCGGCTTACCTCCCCCCACCCCCTTTCCACCCATACAGGGAGTTCGTGCGTGGCGCCAGGCTTCACTGGTCCGGAATGGAAAGCTGTCGTCGTGTGAAGGAGGAGAATATCCTGCTCTGAACGGGTCCGGGGAACGTGCCTAGTAAGCACTACATGTGCGACGATAGGCGTGGACACATCAAAAACAGAACAGTTTGATGCAATCTCAAGGTGCCTTCCACTGATATGTCTTAACCTGAAATCGAGCTCATTATGTTGCAAATAAGAACAGCCAGTGAATGACAGCTTTTAAAAGAACTTCAAGATACAAGGACCACATGAACACTAATGGGATAACTGACACTCTCACTCACATGTCTGATGGGCTGGGAGATTCAGACATGGATATTTTCAGGCCTGGAGGACGTCTCTTCTTGCTATTCATCTCGATATCCTGTGTTGAAACTGAAACATATCAACAATAAACGTCATATCACTTCCGCAGAGAGATATGCACACACAGACACAGACATGGAGAGACAGGCACACATTCATACATACTTACATACATACATATGCATATATATATATATATATATATATATATATATATATATATATATATATGTATATATATATATATACTTATGTAGTTAAATGATCTAGTTAATAGGTGGCAAATGGGAACCATGCATACCATTCCTCAACCTTGTAATGGAAGCCAAAAAGCCACTTTAAGAATAGAATACACCACAGAAAGCAAAATCATGGCAAATAATTCCATGCCAAAAGATAGCTGACATCACTCATTGCCATCTTGTGTTGCAAACAGCTGGTGCAAACAACTAACTCCATGGGGTTATTGGGCTACTGGCCAACCTTTTATGTGCTGTGATGCACAGCAACTAACTCCATGGGGTTATTGGGCTACTGGCCAACCTTTTATGTGCTGTGATGCACAGCAACTAACTCCATGGGGTTATTGGGCTACTGGCCAACCTTTTATGTGCTGTGACACACAGCAACTAGTTTCTATTGTTTATTGGGGTTAAGGGTGCACTGACTTCAATTGTCACTTTGCACCCACCACATTTTGTATTATTTCACTAGTGTTTAGTACAATGTGCCTAGCCCCATTCAAGTGTCCTTCCTAATTTTTGGTGTGAAAGACAGTAGCTGCTGTGGTTCTCTACTGCCTCCACTAACTCCACATCTACACTGAATAATTAGATACACAATGGGCAAATGAAGAATTACTGTATTAACATGAACAGTACTGGCTGTTCTAAACAAGACCAGAAGCATCTTAGCTATACTTGGCTGCATGGTAGGTAGGTGCATCACAGTAATATGATAGGTAGGTGCATGATAGGTAGGTGCATCACATAACTGGCCTACTTAGTGGTGGACCCTGGGGACATGGGCCTGCCCACCTCAATCCCCTTCTCCACACCTGACAATATGGTGCTCTTTCTGCCAATTAAGGCACCTCTGTTCATCCATTCTTTCTTCATCATTCTCCCTTTTTCTGCATGCTCATGAAACCACATTTAGCTGGGGCAGGCTCCATGCACCAGGCCCTGGCTGGGGCCCCTGTCTGAGCACTGAGCACAAACCCTGTGTAAGGGCCCTTGCGCAAGCATGTCTTGGCGGATGGACCCCCTCCTCATGTGTGTGGCTTGATCCCACCATTATCCACTCCCCTCCAGCCCACTGCCCTGAAAAGGTAACTTATAATGGCCAACAGGGCTTTATTCCAAAGCCAAACTAAGCCAAAGAAGCACCCTGTTTCCAGAGGCCAAGGCGGTGCATAGCAAAGCATAAGGAAAGCGGTGTCCCTAACCACTAATGTACAAGCTTCCACAAACTCAGATGGTGAGGCACCTCAAGCCCACTGATACCAGCACCTCCTGATGATGATATCTCCCCAGCCTGAGTAAATGTGCTGCATGCTTAGACAGAGCTTGGCTGATTTTTTATCATGAAAATTTCCCACTCCCTCTTTTTCCACTAGCTGACACTTTTATGTCAACCCTTCAACAACAATAATCCATATTCTTATGTCATTTTCCATGATACCTGTTTCACAAGAATTTACAACCTGTTTCATTGCTGAAAAATGTTCTGTATGTATATATATATATATATATATATATATATATATATATATATATATATATATATATATATACATACATTTAAATGTTAGAGAAAAATGACATCCACATTTAAGTGAGGGCATGTGGGTTGAGCTGCTTCTCTGGTGCTGTTGATTGGTTTCATTTAATGCTGTCTTGTTCGTGCTGATGTGGTTTCATGAATGTGCTGTCCTATCCCACTAAGCATTTAATGAAGTGGTGACTGAGAAATCAGACTAATGTAAAATAAATAATATGCTTATTGAAGAATCACTTCTTCATTTGTATATCAGTCATGCAGTATGTATGAAGCATGTACAGGTGGCAGAATCAATACAAGGGATATAAAATACAACCAAAGGTACTGGCCACGCAGGTAAGGCCGACATCAGCCCGCCAACATGATGAGACAGACATCAGGTTAAGTGTGCTCTTGGTTGCTAATGTGAGAAAGCGGTCAGCAACACCGACTCAAATTAGAAGAGCTTTCACACCATTTTGGCATTATATGCTAGAGAATGGCACCTAGAGTTACACTTCTCATTTGGACATAGTCATGAAGCATGAGTGCAGGAATCAGTCACAGGGGTCCCTCTAGGCCACACTGTTCCAGCCTGATGTCAGATACTGCTCTTGAAAGTTTGATACAAAAAATTGTACTTGCATGATTCAAAAATACTCCCATTTAGGTATATGTACCATTCAGCTGCAACTTCCAGGATACTCAAGAGTCTGTCAAATCCTTTGAATCCTAGCTTTCATAAGGTGAAATCAAGAAAATTGTGTCATCAAATATCAATTGAAAGACAAGTAACAAAAAGTACCAAATTGACACATCAGCTCACAGGGAAGCAGGAAGCACCACAGGGCTGTGTGACAGCCTCAGTTCTCACAATCCCTTAAAATATCTGATATCTCCTGACATGATATCTAGTTATATCAGCATCTTAAATTTGGTACCCTTCAGTAGCTAGCAAAGTAAGATGTTTCCATATATACACTTGGGTATCAATGCAAGGTTTTTGCATGCCAATGCAGGACTTAGAAACAAGATCCAATACTGCATTGAGGTAAGAAGCGATGAGACTAGACCCAAGACACTACTGACAGGGTTTATTCACACAAGGTTGGCTGAGAAGCCTCTGATCATCAAAAAAGGCTAGACTCTGGTGCAGTGAAAAGCCACTAGACTTCACACTGCAGCTTGACTAGAATGCCCACACATGCCATACTTGCCACACATCAGGACTACTACTTCCCAAGCTATCTTGGTTCCTAGATCTGGGCCCAAACAAATTGCAATACTTTCTCTGTCTGCCTCTTTAGAAGTTTGCCTGCATCTGCCTGCTTATGCATTTTAGATCACATGTCACAATGAGCCTCCATTACCCATATTATCATTATACTAGCAATCAGATATATACAAGCAGCTACTAGCTGTTGAAGCTCCCAAACATACCAATGCCTCATATGTGGAACATGTCAGCCAGCTGCTTGTTATCACATTGGCATGGTGATGATGCTTACACTGAAATAGTGATCATAATAATACTGCTTTTGAGGTGAAGTATGAGGGCTATCTTATGTGTGGCATCCCTTAATCAGGTTGAACAGCACATGAATCAGAGCTTGAAGGGAGCAAGATCCATGAGCCATTGGCCTTATAATTCTCAACCACTGTGAGGCGAGGCATGATAAATTAATGTGACCAGGCCACTTTAAAAAACTTTCAACAGAAGTTGCTAAATATTTGCATTGTCTATGTAACTATATTCTATAGAAAAATAATGGGAGCTGTTCTACAAATGTAGTTAGTCACCCACCATTTAAGCTTCATTTTGTCACCAACATGGACCTCATGCATAATTGTTCCCAAAGTTGAAGGCCAGGCCACATAATACCTTGTCATCTCACAATCATCTTAAAAGATATGAGCCCTCACTGGGAAAACTGGGACTTCATCAGTAGGTATGTGTGCCTAGTTTGCAAATGCAGCCTGAAAAATAACCTGTGAACACCAATAAATACCTGACACAATCACACAACAGATGATTTCAGAGCATACAATGGACATTTCAGGGAATGCATACACCAGATACCAGTACGAATGGTACAAGGCTGCTGATTTAGATCGCTATCATAAATGCGGCTCCCCTGAAGCAGCATAATCTAAACGATAACGTAAAAAGCATGTGTAATTACCAGAGGCTATAAAACCCGCCGAATCCTCGGTAAGTAGTATGGCAGTAACCACAGCACTTGATACAGCTATGAGCTCCTTGCCAGGATCAATTTAGCGAGCCAGAAATAGCGGCCGCCTGCAGGTTTTCGTATCCACCCACCCACACACATTCCACAACAAACAAAACGCGCAGCGGTCGCGGGCAGAACGGAATTACTGAGGCATGAGCGACGCACGACTGCGTTGCAAATGTCACTGCTCTGTATGATTGGACACGGTAGCTAAATACTGAATTCCGGTTGACTACTTAAATCACCACTAACGGTAAGTTGATGACTCATCTTTCTCCAATTTCTAAGCATGAAAAATGCTGAAACAAGGCACAGCTGCAGACTCAAGATATCATTTTTTTGGTTAATTTATGCAACATCGAGAAATAGCGGCAAGAATATGGGTAAAGTTGTTGGCCGATTTAACGATACATTTATTTCCACGGGTACATGTCTCGTTGATGGTTCCAGGACAAAGTCCATTACAAATGTTGTTTCATCGAATATGAAAAAACCGAATGGCTTTTGCTTGCCATGTCTAACATGTCTGTCGTGTCATGTTAAAAAGGTAAACGCCTTAATTGCTAAAAACATATTGACAGCATGTCCTTTAACCGACGCGCCAATTGCCGAAGTGCAGATAAGGCTAAATATTAATTTGCCGAAAACAGATAAGCTGCCATGTTAATAAGTCAATATAAATTTCCCAGAGACGGGATTTAGGTGAATGGTGATTTACGGAATAGAGGATGACCGAATGGTCAATTAACCGAATGCCTTTTTGTCGAAACGTGATATTGGCGAACACCAATTTGATGACTGAAAAATAATCGTATGGTTGCATAATCGCATATGTTTTGGGAGAAATCTAAGTTTTACGAACGGCAGTTAGACGAACATAAGTTTTTTGAGTGATCAATTAGCCGAACTGATTTGTCAAAAAGTGAATACACCGTAAAGGGCGGTTGATGAATTATATTCCGCATTGATATGGAGGGTAGTTGGTGGGGTGTTGCCAATATTGCTAAAGATATAAAGCCATTCGGTTTGGTTTGGCTTTTCAAGTTATCTATGTATCGTTTGGTGGACCCAGGGAACAACAGCTTTCACCTTTTTGACCAAACATGGCACGACACAGGTCACAGTTGTTGATGTCCACAAGAGACCATCCGGAAAATATTTTAAGAGTTATTCAACGTCGTTTCACCTATCTTAGTTCTTGAAGTAACAGGATGGTGGACCTGCTTTACTTGGCCTGTCAAAGGTCACTTTCGCCATTGTTCAGTCATACTTTACGGATGCAGTTTGACTGGAGCTTTCTTATGCCGTCTTCGCCATGGTTCTAGTTCGCTCTGTTTGAGAGATCATAAGCGGGACTGCTGAAGTTTCCTCTCGTGCGGCGACAGTGAGAAGCTGCCCCTGGGCCCCCGTCTGGGAACTATTCATAATATTTCGCTACATGAACATTCTAAAGAACGTTTAGTTGATTAGCATTGGACTAAAGAACATTTGAATGAGTTAGTTTTTAACAAAAACCTATGTCACTTAGAAGCATTACGTGGGTAACATGTTCGACATGTCTTTCTGCCAACATGTCGGCAAAGAGATATCAGTAAATTGCCGTTTGACTTTCAACACTGTGCCTATTGACACGGTGGCAAAAAGTCGACAAATTAGCATTTGGTTAGATACATTCGGAGTCTTAAATACAAGCCATTTTAGAAGGCGCGGCACTTTGGCAATGTAACGCGTGGTAAGTATCAAAGGTAATTGAACAGACCTTCACTAATTTGATATGTGATATTCGTTGAGTAAGTTGCATTCCTTACTGATTTTCAGTTACGAACCTTGCTCAAAGAATCAAAATTTAAAATATAAGACATTGC